TTGTGCTATCGAGCGACAGTTGACTTCTCGATGTGTTTTGTTTGTGTTGCATTTATTTGTATTGGTTCAAACTTAATCTTATTTTCATTACTTTGTGTATTTTTTATTCATTCATTTATGTATGTCATTCGTTCACTCATTTGTGCATTTATCATATTCATATGTCCCAGTCAATGTTGATAGTTTATCAGTTGGGAGTGTTCAGTTTACAAGGATAATATTGGAGTGAAGTAAACCTCTAATTAAAGATTGGATTGAGTGTCGTAGTGTCACAGCAGTGAAACTATGAGATGTCTTTTGTAGAACCGGAAAGGGGAGCTTTGAAACAGAAATGAGCATTTTGAAATGTTTTTGGTGAATTGTCTTCACTGATTATTTCGACGATTCAGGAAGAATTTTCTCGTTGTCTGTCTTGCCTTTTTTCACAAAAATGAATGATGATCATTCCGTTGTGCATAATTATTATTTGATTCGTTCGTTGTTTTTGTTTTATTGATGTGTATTGCACTGTGATAAAAANCAGTATTCTTTTTTCCTATCGGTTTTTTTCGTATTCATAAACTTGTCTCGATATCGTCAATTGTGATGAGATTTAAAAATATTCGTTCGCGTTTTCACATTTCACTTCTTTTTTTTTTGAAACAGAATATCATATTGTTACGTGTGTTGTGGTTGAATGTCATTTCTGTTCAATTTGTTTGTTTTTATACTATAATTACTTGGTGAAGGAGGGAGAATTTCGACGTTAATTGTGTGTTTGCATAATGAAAAATTTTGATTATGATTGCATAATTTCTACTTTGATTGCATTTGCATTTATGAAATTGATTTCTTGACATTTCATTGACTTTGATTGCTATCCGTTTTTTTTTCACGAATAAAATTGGTTGGCTGGAATTTATGGTTATTGTTTTTGTAGTTCTCAACTGATATCTCCCTGGTTCCCATCCAATCCAGTAAGGGAATATTCTTTCCGAGTTTTGCTCTCGTATATTCCCTGGAGGATTCTGGTCAAATAGAACCATTTGTCATGTGGAGACTCAAACGTTTGAATAANTGAGGACGGCAACTCTCAAAGTGAATCTTATCTGCATCTCTTTTTTCTCCTTGTTAAGACTAAAGAGGTTCGCTGTATGGATGTATGAGTCCAGTACTCAAATTGATATCGTTTCGGGAAATATTAAACGATCTAAAGAGCAAAGCAATCAATCGTTCACGTCTATCGCATCTATAATGTTCAGTTTAAGCCAAGCTAACAACTAAAACTTTAAACGGATTTTCAGTCGAGAGCGATACCGAACTACACAAAGTTTTTTAAATTACTGTTTATGATTAGAGTTTATAGTAGCAGAGTATCTTTTTGGGTAATTTATTGCAACATGTATGTCGGCAGATGATTTGTAAAGTATTTAAGAATGAATATTCGTCCACCAATTTTCTCGATGTATATTCAGGCTAGCGGTGCAGGCTTACATCGTCATCTTAGCGTTGATACGTCAATCGGAAGTTTGAAACGTTTCATCGATTGCCAGATTGCGTATCGTTTCGTTATACCGTCAGGAGCTTATATCGATATGGATAGGTGAAACTTCGCTTTAAATTTTCTGTGAAGACATTTGATTGGTTTGGTTTCACGCCGCAAGATTTTCTTACTTGTAAGGGCTCAAAATTGCACTCTGTGCGTTTGTTCGCCGTACTTATCTCGATAGTTTCTGCCATGGAAATCCCATGCATCCAGCATCTGTTTCGAGCAGTTTGGCCATGATTCGTGTGTTTAATTTAACCGAGTCCATTCGCGAAATCTTTCTGAGGTCTTGCTTAATCGGCACAAAATCAGCT